ATATAGGCTGAAGTTGATCTTCTTTTATTTTTGTCACTTGCAAAATCAAAGTCTACAAAACCTTCTAACACCAGATTGTTAGTCTTTCTTTTGTATATGAGACCATAATCAATTGATGTGTTAACATACTTAAGTAACCACTTCATGACAGACCAATGTTCAGGGCCTGGATTTGCCATGTACTTGCTTAACAAACTAACCGCATAGGCCAAGTTAGGCCTAGTGCAAATCATGGCATACATTAGAGACCCCACTGCACTTGCATATGGGATCTTTGTCATTTTAATTTTTTCCTCTTCTGTAGATGGGGATTGTTCAGCACATAGTTTAAAGTGTCCAGCCAGTGGTACAAAAGTTCTCTTAGACTGGTCCATAGAGAATTTCTATACCAATTTCCTCAGGTACTCCTTTTGGGATAGATATAGAGTTTTATGCAGTCTATCTCTATTTATATATATTCCTAAAATTTTCTTGGCTGTCCCTAGATCTTTCATGTCAACCTCAGACCTTAACATGTGTTTAACATCTTTAATAACTTTAAGATCACTGCTAGTAATAAGCATATCATCAATATATAGTAAAAGGTATGCAGGGGATTTAATATCAATCCCCTTAAAGTAGAGGCAAGAATCATAATGGCTCCTAACAAAACCTATTTTTGTAACATAATGATCAAACCTTTTATACCATTGATGAGGGGACTGTTTGAGTCCGTATAGAGACTTCTTCAAGAGGTAGATCTGATTTTCTTTCCCCTTTTCTTCATAACCTGGTGGCTGATTTATGTAGATTGTTTCTTGGAGGTCTCCATGTAGGAAAGCTGTTTTGATGTCCATTTGTTCAAGCTCCCAGTCTTCATGTGCCACCAGAGCCAAGATGGTTCTTATTGTCTTATACTTTGCCATAGGGGAGAATATCTCTGTATAGTCTATACCCTCCACCTTGGTAAAGCCTTTGGCAACTAACCTTGCCTTGAATCTCTTAGGCTCGGTTGAGTTGATCCCTTCTTTAATCTTGTAGATCCACTTACAAGCTACAGGCTTTTGGTTCTTTGGTTTATTTACCAAAACCCATGTCTTGTTTTGCTTAAGAGATTTCATCTCTTCCTCTATTGCTTCTCTCCATTTTCCAGCATTTGGACCTGTCACTGCTTCATGAAAGGACTTTGGTTCCTCATATACTAACTTTTCTGTTGTATTTAAGGCAAATGCTATTAAATTTCCTCCATCATAGTGTTGGGGGGGTTGAATATTTCTTCTTTGCCTGTCCCGTGTCAGCTAGTAATTTTCCAAATCATTTGGTGTGGCTTCCTCGGGTTGTGTGTCAGTCATTGAGGTTTCATCATTCCTGTTTGGAACCTCCTAAGTAGGTTGCTATTGTTCCTCCTCTATTTCTTCTTAGTGTAGAGCACCTTTTGGCCCACTATTATTATCCACCTCAAACTGAAGTTGCTAGGCACTGTCTCTGCCTGTACCTGCATCAAGAGAGGGAGAAACAACATCATCTTTTTCTTCCTTTAAGCAAGGCATATCATATTCATTAAATACAACATCTCTACTTATGATTATTTTATACCTTGGACCATTCTTAACACACAACCTATATCCTTTAACACCTTCAGGGTATCCCAGGAAAATACACTTTATTGACCTAGGGTCTAATTTTCCCTCCCTTTGGTGTGCATAGGCAGCACACCTAAAGACCCTTAGTTTTGATAAATCTGGGGTTTTACCACTCCAACACTCTTCAGGTGTCTACAAACCAATTGGTTTGCAAGGACATCTGTTTATTAGATAACAAGTTGTCGTAACAACTTCCCCCCAAAAATATTTGTTTAAACCAGCAGTGAACATCATGCATCTTACTCTTTCCATTAAGGTTCTATTCATTCTTTTAGCTACCCCATTTTGTTGGGGTATTTTTCTTACAGTCCTATGTCTTAAGATTCCCTGTTCATTACAAAACCTAGTAAAGGTTTCATGGCAAAATTCCATGCCATTATCAGTCCTTAGGGCTTTTATTTTTTTATTTATCTAATTTTTTATTAGTGTTTTCCACTGTTTAAACTTCTCAAAACATTCATCTTTAGTTTTAAGCAAATGAATCCAAACCTTTCTAGAGTAATCATCCACAATGGAAAGAAAGCACCTGTGTCCACCAAACGTGGGAGTCTTTTCTGGTCCCCAGAGGTCAACATGAAGATGGTCTAAGGGAGATTTTGCCCTGAATGTGGAGGCTGAGAACTTCAACCTGTGCTGCTTCCCCAAGATGCAATGTTCACAGAAATCTAAGTTTCTAATATGCTCTTTTCCAAGTAGACCTTGCTTGTTGAGCTCTTGCAAACCCCTCTCACTTACATGGCCCAATCTTTTGTGCCAAAGAGATGCCAGAGCTTTGTCCTTTGTTGCTGTGGCTGCAACACCTGTTACCGTCTGGCTTTCTAGAACATAGAGGCCTTGATGCTTCAATCCCTTTAGAATCACCAAGGAGCCTCTTAGAATCTTTAGAACTCCACCTTCTACTTTACACACATACCCAGCATCATCGAGGGCTCCTAGCGAGATTAGGTTTCTCTTCAGTTCTGGAATATGTCTCACATTTGCCAGAACATGAGATAACCCATTGTTTAGTTTGACTGTTATTGAACCTGTACCAACCACCGAGCATGAATGGTTGTTGCCCATTAGGACTTTTCCACCATTTATGCTTTTGTATTCTATGAACCACTCCCTCCTGGGACACATGTGATATGTGCACCCATAATCAAGTATCCATTTCTCATCATTCTGGTTTTCCCTTACCGCCAACATTTCAGAGCTTTCATAGCCTCCATCTTTAGTTGCCATAGCTGCATCTGCATTCTCTATCTTTTTCTTTGCAAGCTTCTTCTTGTACTCCTTACAGAATCTCTTAATGTGTCCAGGTTTGTTACAGAAGAAGCACTTCCTCTGTCCATTCCTAGATTTTGATTTAGAGTGGGTCAGTTCTTGGATCGATCATGATCCCTTTTCTGAGGTCTTCCTCTAGAGAACAAACCTTCATCTCCTCTTTGACTCAACTCATTTTTAATTTCCAAGTCACGAGATCTCAATGCCGACAGTACGTCTTTAAGAGTCAAACTCTCTCTGCCATACTTAATGGCATTTTTCACATCCTTATAAAACTCGGGCAAAGAGATAAGCAAGATTATGGCTTGATTTTCTTCTTCTACCTTTTCTCCAATATTGGCTAAATCAATGATGATTTTATTAAACACATCAAGATTCTTTTCTAAACCTTTCTGAACTTTCTTTCAAGTAAATCTTGTTTGTTAAAGACTTCGTCCTGTAAAGTTGTTCCAGTTTTAGCCATACCTTAGCCGCCGTGTCCTCTTCATTTACTTGTCGGAGAACATTGTCAGAAAGGTACAAAATGATCTTGAATATGCAGTTTCTTTCATCTCGGCCTTCTCGTCTTCAGACACCGCCACATCCTTCATGTCACCCTGTACTTTTGCCACCCTCTGTTGTACGAGGATGGCCTTCAGCTTTTTCCTCCAAAGGCCGAAATTCCCAGTTCCATCGAACTTCTCAAGCTCGAATCTTGCGATCCCCATGAGTTTCGAATTCCTCGAGGTTTTGATACAGATTATCAAAACCCTAGCGTGAGTCCACCGGAATTCTTGGAATCCGCTGACTAACCTTGGGCTCTGATACCACTGTTAGAACAATTCTAACATAGACTAGCAGAATAAACAAGAAATCACAAATATGAACCAGATCCAGAAAACACAAGAACACAAAAGGATTTGTTTGACCGAGGTTCAGAAATAATGAATTTCCTACATCCCTGTTGAGCTTTTCCTCAGAGAAGCTCGATTCACTATCAGATAAAGTTGTTACACCCTCAAATCTCACAATACAAGGAAAGCATCAATTCCATATCTCTCAAGAACCCTAAATTAGAGCAAACCCAGAGAAAACTTAAGCAAACCCGAAAGTAATACCCAGTGGAAGAATACCCAATACAAACCTCTCCCAGTTTCTTTTCTTGAACCCTCACTTACAGTTTCTCTTACCGAAAAACCAAAGGTTCTCCTATCTCTCTCTAAAACCCAGAGGTTCTCTCTCTAGAATTCTCTTTTTGCAGAAACAATGCTCAAGACAATGAATTGAGACCCAGCCAAAACATCTTGTTAGGTTATTAAATGATGTTCACCGCCTTTTGCACGTGTCTTCACCTTACTGGATAGAGGCTGAGGCATTTTCCCAAAACGCTGCGTTCTAATAGTTTGAATCAACAAACGACTTCACTTGGTGCAACTCCCTTCTCTGCTTTATGTTGTGTTTCCTGAGATTACTCAACATCTTATATGAATCCTAATGATTACTATTTTGAGAACTAAAAGTCATTTTTAAGCACATAATAAATAAAACACTATCATATATTGCTCCAATCAAATGTTCATGTATGACCGTATGTGGCTATTAAAAAAGAACTTAACAAATATAATTTTTCACGACAATATCATTTAGGTTTAAACGACAGTCAGTTACGATGGAATTACTGATATTAACAGTAAAAACGACAGTCATTTATTGATGTGCCTTTTAATATTTTTCGTACAATTATTCGTGACATGTGTATACATTTATTGTTGTGCCTTTTAATATTTTTCATCTAATTATTAATGACAGGTGTATATGACAGTTCTTTATTGTTGTATGTTTAAAAACCTTTTCTAATTTTCAAAATAGTAACTATTACGGCTCAATATAAGAGAATTGCGCTAAGTTTTTAGCCGGTTACGATTGACACATGGGCCTGTTATAATAACACATAAAAGGATTTGTCCTTCATTTTTAAAGTGGGGGCCTATAGACAACTCCATATTATAATCATAATCAGAAATCCAAAGTACTTTAGGCATGTTTGGTTCATAAAGTTGAACAGAAAAGTTTGATATCCAACCTAAGCCCCGCATCAATGTTGCAATTGGCAATCAATCAAATGTTGCTGGGATGCATCCTAATAATTCAGTGGTTGAGATGCAACAATACGAAGAAGCAGTTTCTGGCCAGCCATCCAATGAAGTTGTCAAGCCAACTAGTAGCGGTAATACATCTCTAAACCCATCCCAGAATCTTCTGGGAAACTCGAGGATGCTGCCACCTGGAACCACTCAGGCCTTGCAGATGTTTCAAGGGCTCTTATCTGGGGCTTCAATGCCCCCTCGGCCACAGCTTCCTGAGTCACAGTCATTACTTCCTCAGAAGCAGCAGCAGCAACAACAGCAGCAGCAGCAGCAACAGCAGCCAAACCAATTCATTCAACAGCAGCATCCCCAGTTTCAGAGATCAATGATGCTTGCAACAAACCCTCTTTCAAACTTCAATGCAATTGGGCAGAACTCGAATATACAATTGGGTAATCACATGGTGATCAAGCCTTCCGCTCTCCAGCTTCAGCTCTTACAACAACAGCATCAGCAGCAGCAACCTCAAATGCAGAGGAAAATGATGATGGGTCTTGGAACGGCTGTGGGTATGGAAAATGTAGGCAATAACATGGTTGGAATTGCAGGCCATGGCAATGCAATGGGAATGGCAAATGCAAGGGGAATAAGTGGAACAGGAATCTCAGCGCCCATGACACCTATATCTGGAATGGGAAACGTGGGGCAGAACCAAATGAATTTAAGCCAGGCTTCAAATATTGGCAATGCAATAAGCCAACATATACGGTCTGGGACGTTAGCACCAGCAGTTATCATGGCATCAAAACTTAGGATGGCGTAAAACCGAGCAACAATGTTAGGCAGTCCCCAGTCGGGCATAGCAGGGATTTCGGGAGCCAGACAGGTGCATCCAGGCTCTGCTGGTCTCTCAATTCTTGGTCAGCCTTTGAACTGAGGGAACATCAGCCCGATGCAACGAGCACCAATGGCAGCTATGGGTCCTCCAAAGTTGATGGCAGGAATGAATATATGCATGAACCAGCAGCAACAACAACAGCGACAGTTGCAACTACAGCAGCAATTACAGCACCAACTACAGCAGCAACAGCAATTGCGACAACAACAGCAACAACA